ATCTTACTTTTCAGGTCAGCAGGTCGGGCCGGCGGTGTGACATGACGGGAGTAGCTTGGGACATTCAGGATATTTGTATATATGTTTTGGACTGTATAACTAATATTTACGCTTCCGCTTACATTTTGACTATCTTTTGACGATGGTTTGATGATTTTGACGGTTTTATCATATTTTGATAAACTTTTCAGAAAGTAAAGTTAAGTAAAGTTTTTAAATAACCGGACGTTTTTAATAAGTTAAAACAACGGTTTTTCTAAAGTTAAGTAAAGTTTTTCACGGTAGCACCCCAAATCAGTATCGCAAAGTAAAAATGTTTAGTTTTTCAAAGACTTTGCGAATAAACGCGCTACTCTGATTTGACTAGTAAGGAGGGGTGTTACAATTGGTATCAGAGCACGTTTCTGCGTCTTTGATAAGTTTTCAGTCAGATAAGTTTTCTGTAAGTAAGTTTTCAGAAAAGTTTTCAGAAAAGTTTACAGTCCGAGATTTTTCAGTAAAACCCGAACCGTCATGTTCACGCCCCGCCGACAACAGGTAAGTGCTGTTGCAATTCAGTTTTCAGTTATTATAAACATATTACTTTGTCTATGCTCAGAAGTGAGAATCAGAACTTTAGTTAAGATGCTCGAATCAGATTCAGACTCTAGAGGTTGGACATGACTCTAGAATTCAGGCATTCAGATATGACTCTAGACGTTAGAATTTTTCCGAGATGACTCTAGAGTTCTTCAGGTTTCCATTCAGTAATTATCGGCCAATTTTGGCAACTCGTCAAGAGATCTGTGTGCCTAGCAATCAGTCAGTAAGGTTATCATGTATTCAGTAATATTCGGTAATGTTAAATCTTTTTCAATGTTCAGATGCCGCCACATAGAGAGCCTGTTCAGCAGGGTCCTACCCAGGCGACGGTAGTCGCTCAATTCCGTGACTATCACGCAGAGAAGTTCTCAGGTCAGGGCGACCCCCGGATCGTCGATGAATGGATTCAGGGGTTGGAGTTTATCTTCGAAGTAATGGAATGCCCCGATAGGTTTCGCGTAGTTTGCGCTCAGCTTCAGCTCACTGGCGACGCGAGGCTTTGGTGGAACTCCTACTGGAGCATGCGTCCCGGTGAAAAGGCGGGTTGTACATGGGACATGTTCAAGGATCTTGTCCGCGACAAGTACTACCCTTCATACTATCGGGCAGAGATGGAGCGCCAGTTCTTAGCGCTTCAGCAGGGCACTCGTACTGTCGATGAGTACGAGCGTGAGTTCACCAGGCTTGCAGGTTTTGCACCGGATCTTGTTCGCACGGAGGCCCAGAGAGCTCAGCGGTTCATTGACGGACTGTACCCAGCAGTCCGTCATAACATTGTGGGACACGGGACTCAGACATATGCACGAGCCGTCTCTATCGCCCAGGAGGTTGACGCTAGCATTAGGAGGGAAGCTGTTCGTGATCGTGCTCAGCCAGTTGTCCCAGCTCAGCCAGGCGCAGCTCCACCAGCTCTACCAGCTCCGCAGCCAGCAAAGGACAAGAAGAGGAAGGCGAAGGGTGCACAGACAGACCGGAGGACCCGACAGAGACAGATTCCACCATGCCCGACTTGTGGTCGACTTCACAGGGGAGAGTGTCGTGCAGGACAGGACATCTGTTATTTTTGCCAGGAGCCGGGACATTTCGCGAGTCGTTGCCCGAAGAAGCTTCAGCAGCA